AGGTTCCCTCACATGGAGGTTGTAAGTACTTTATTACTTTCATTGATGATTTCAGTAGGAAAACATGGGTTTACTTTCTGAAGCAAAAGTCTGAAGCATGTGATGTTTTCAAACAATTTAAGACTTTTGTTGAAAAGCAAAGTGGTTATGAGATTAAAATCTTGAGAACTGATAGTGGTAGAGAATATATTGCTTGTGATAATTTTCTGAAAGAAAAGGATATTCAGCACCAAATGACAACTAGATATACTCCACAACAAAACGGAGTGGCTGAGAGGAAGAATAGGTCTATCATGGATATGGTAAGGTGCATGTTGAAATCCAAGAATCTGCCTAAGCCTTTTTGGGCAGAAGCTGTTGCTTGTGCTGTCTATGTGTTGAATAGGTGTCCAACTAAAAGTGTCCGTGATAAGACACCCGAAGAAGCTTGGAGTGGGAGAAAACCCTCTATCAAATATCTCAAGGTTTTTGGATGTTTGGCATATGCACATGTGCCAGATCCATTGAGAAAGAAGTTGGATGATAAAGGTGAGAAGTGCATATTCATTGGTTATAGTGACGCTTCAAAGGCTTATAAACTATACAATCCTGAAACTAAAAAGGTTGTTATAAGTCGTGATGTCACTTTTGATGAATATGGTGCTTGGGATTGTTAGCTAAAGATGAAAGTTCAGTTGTTATTCCTGCTGTTGAAAATATTGTTGAAGAGCAACCGATTCCAGATAATGTCCAGTCTCCTTCACAGCCAGAGTCGTCAGTTCGACGATCTCAGCGCGAGCGCCACTTACCAGCTCGCTTGCAAGATTATGTTTTGGGTCATGATAATGACCTGTCTGATGAAGAAATTGTTCAATTTGCTCTCTTTGCAGATTGTGATCCTTTAACTTTTGAGGAGGCTGCTACAGAAACTCATTGGCTTAAGGCGATGGATGAGGAGATCCGTGCCATTGAAAAGAATGGTACCTGGGAGTTAACAGATTTACCACCTGGAAAGAAGCCAATTGGAGTGAAGTGGGTTTACAGAACGAAGTACAAGTCAAATGGAGAAATTGACCGTTTTAAGGCACGGTTAGTAACAAAGGGTTACAAGCAGAAACCAGGTATTGATTATTTTGAGGTTTTTGCTCCTGTAAGTAGACTTGATACAGTTCGAATGATTATTTCTCTTGCTGCTCAAAATGATTGGAAATTGCATCAAATGGATGTCAAGTCTGCTTTTCTGAATGGTTTTCTTGAAGAAGAAATATGTGTTGAGCAACCTGCAGGATTTCTGAAGAAAGGGGAGGACAATAAAGTGTACAGGTTGAGAAAAACTTTGTATGGCTTAAAGCAAACGCCTAGGGCGTGGTATGGTTGCATTGACTCATATTTTGTTGAAAGTGGTTTTATGAGATGTCCTCATGAACACACTTTGTATGTCAAATGCACGGATTCTGGTGATATTGTTATAATCTGTCTATATGTTGATGATTTGGTTTTTACTGGAAATAACTTGAAGCTAATCTCAGAATTCAGGGAGGCACTCATTAAGAGGTTTGAAATGACTGATATGGGCCTTATGTCTTACTTTCTTGGCCTTGAGGTTATTCAGATGGATGCTGGAATCTTTATTTCACAAAAGAAGTATGCTGCTGATATTTTGAAAAAGTTCAAAATGGAAAACTCCAAACCAGCTTCAACTCCGGTAGTTGAAAAGTTAAAGGTGTCCAAAGATGAGTGTGGTAAGAATGTGAATGTTACATCTTATAAAAGCTTAATTGGGAGTTTGAGATATCTGGTGGCAACAAGGCCAGATATTTCTTTTGGAGTTGGCTTAATTAATCATTTTGTTAATACTTATGGGACCAAGCGCGAGGCGCGAAAATTCATGCCCAATATAAAAACTTTGATAAATACAAATAATTAAAAATTATAATTTGAATTATATATACACAAATAATATATGTATTTTATACACACATACGATTACCATTCATAGAAATTTAATTAAAATATAATCAACTATTAAATTAATTATATAATGATTTTAATAAAATGATAATTAAAGAATAGGAAAAAGATATATATAATAGATATAAGTGTATGGTAATAATGGTGGAGTTATAAATGTTAGAATTAAAAAGTAACGATGTTATAACGGTGTAAGGGTAGTTTTGTCTAACAAGAATGTAATAGAGACAATTTTGCTAATAACATTGACATGTACAATATTTGAAGTAAAAATGTATACATTATATAATAATAATAATAATAATAATAATAATAATAATAATAATAATAATAATAATAATAATAATAATAATAATAAGAATAACAATAACAACAATAACAATAACAACAATAACAATAACAACAATAACAATAACAACAATAACAACAATAACAACAACAACAACAACAACAATAATAATAATAATAAAAAAAAAAAAATAATAATAATAATAACAACAACAACAATAACAATAACAACCCTGGTTGGTAAATGACGATTAGCTGTTAACATCACTGCTGGAAATCATCGTATTTCTGACCACAACAAAAAGTGGTCGGAAAAATTATGTTTTTCGCATTTTCCGGCGAATAGATGATGCGGCCCAACATAATGAAGATCCATTAAGAGTACAAATTGGGCCAATCACAAGATCCAAAGCCCAAATCAGTTTTATTATTTGTGGTCATCATTATTTTAAATTGTTTGGAATTAAAGAGAAAACACTAGTTCGTATTTAGAAAGGATTCCTTAAATCCCTTTCTAAATAGGACTATATTTACTTGCTTTCTAGATTAAGCTTAGGACTCTTTTTTCCATTGTATTTAGGATTACAATGCTGCTTTATACCTATTAATAGAGCACATCCATATCAGTTTTAAACAGGCTTTAATTTAATAAAATTCTTAAGTTTTTCTTTACACTTGTGTAAGAAACCTTATGGCCAATTGTGGACTCAATTAGTGGCTAGTCGTGGACTCGACTAGCAAATTGATTCGTGGACTCGAATCAATCTTACTTTCTTCAACCTTAGATTTAGGTTCGTGGACTCGTTCTTGAATCGAAGGAAACTAGATCCGACTCTAGTTGATTGAAGATTGCAACATCGAGGTACTTGAAGCTACATGGGATTCTTCTAAGTCTTTGAGAATTCGAGACAAAGGGTTTCTCGTGAGGTCTAAGGTATTTTGATCCATCTTTATCTTTAGTTTTGAGAGTATTCTTGGGACAATATTCCATCTTTATTTGAACCTTGGACTAGGTTCATATCATCAATAGGTAAGGGGGTTGGAAATTTCAACCACTATTAGTAGGTGGTTGGAAATTCCGACCACCATTAATAGGTGGTCAGAATTGTCGATGGTTTGAACTTTAAATATACTTTTTTCCGACCACAATTAATGGTGGTCGGAAATACCTTTATATATATATATATATATATATATATATATATATATATATATATATATATATATGTATGCATCTCTTGCGTATTTCTAGATCTGTTTTCTTTGATTTTTACCCCTTTCTACTGCTTTTTTTTTTTTTTTTTTTTTTTCATTTTTGTAGGTTTTCTTTCAATAATTCGCCCCGAAGGAAAAATCACGCTCCCGGTCGAGATCGGCACCCCGCCAAAATCTGTCAAGACCGAGTTGGAGTTTGTTGTGGTAAATTTGCATTGCGTTCACAACATCATCTTGGGCCGACCGGCTATAATGAAGATCGGTGGGATAATTTCCATGCCCCATCTATGCATGAAGTTCCCCACCCCAAACAGGGTCGGCGTTGTACGCTGAGATGTCCAATCTGCGAGGAAATGTTACACCCGGGCCGTCAACAAACGTGATGCTGACACGTCTTCCTGGGTGAATTCGATCGTGAGGGAAGCTACCAGCGATCGGAAGAAGCAACCTGAACCTTCCGAGGAAAATGAAGAGGTTCCCCTGTCCGAGGACCAACCGGACAGGAAGATCAAAATTGGTCGGGCCCTTACCCCCGAGCTGCGGTTGGAAGTACTGGCAATCCTTCGGGAATTTGCCAACATCTTTGCGTGGGGACCCGAAGGCATGCCCGGGATCGACCGTACAGTCATTTGCCACAAACTTGCCTTAGATCCCGTGGCAAAGCCGGTCGTTCAGAAGACACGGCATTTATCTTCCGATCGCTGAGAGTTCGTGAGAGAAGAGGTCAAAAAGATGGCGGCGATTGAGCACATCTGACCGGTTATCTATCCCAAGTGGGTGGCTAATATTGTTCTTGTTCCCAAGCCCCCAGCATGGAGGATGTGCATAGATTTTACCGACCTCAACAAAGCATGCCCGCTCGACCCGTACCCGCTCCCGAGCATTCATCAAATGGTCGACGAGACGGCCGGGACCGAGCTCATGAGCTTCATGGATGCCTTCAAGGGTTATCACCAGATAATGATGCACCATGAAGATGAGAGCAAGACAGCCTTCGTGACCCCGAATGGGCTGTACTGTTACTGAGTGATGCCGTTCGGCCTTAGCAACGCGGGAGCAACATATCAGAGGATGGTCAACATGCTCTTTGCGGATCTTCTGGGCCGAACGATGGAAGCATACATAGATGATATGCTGGTCAAGAGTCGGGACCGAGCCGACCACACTCGGGACCTCCGGGAATGTTTTCAGATCTTGTGGAGGTACCAGCTGAGATTGAACCCTAAGAAGTGCACATTTGCGGTTCAAACGGGGAAGTTCCTTGGCTATATGATGACTAAAAGAGGGATCGAGCCCAACCTGGCCAAGGTCAAGGCTATTTTGGATATGCAACCGCCCACTACCGTTCGGGAGGTGCAACAATTGACCGACCGGTTGGCAACCTTGAGCCGTTTCCTCTCCAAGCTAGCCGAGCGCGCCTTACCATAGCCGCGAAGAAGTTAGCTCCCTATTTTCAGGGTAGAGCCATTCGTGTGTTGACCGATCAGCCGATCGGGCCAGTCTTCCATATTGCTTCATCATCTGGTCGCCTAGTCAAGTGGGCGTTAATGTTGACCCAGTATGCGATCGAGTATCGACCGCGACCAACAATTAAAGGTCAAGCCCTGGCAGATTTCTTGGTCGAATGCACCGCTCGGGACACACGACCCCCGGAGGTCGAGGATCCCGAGGCAGAGTGGTGGTCGTTGGCGACTGATGGGTCCAGCAGCAAGAAAGGAGCAGGAGGAGGGGTCGTGGTAACAAGCCCGAAGGGTTTCAAGGTATACTTTGCATTGATGTATCAGTTCTATCCGACCAATAATGAAGCCGAGTATGAGGCCTTTGTCAACGGCCTACAATGCGCTCGGAATTTGGGGGCTGATTACATCCGGGCTCAGACAGATTCTGCACTTGTGGTCGAGCAGGTCCTGGGTGACTATGAAGTAAATGGTGGGCGATTACAAGCCTACCGGGACCTTGCTATGGAGAAGCTCACCTTGTTCCGGGGATACACCATACAACATGTTCCCCGACTAGACAATGCTGATGCGGACATCTTGTCTAAGTTGGCACAAGACGCCCCAGAACATATGTCCAAGATTGCTCGGATTCTAGTGATCCCGAGGCATAGCATTCACCGGTTGCCGGTCGCACCCATCCAACCGGCGGAGGATACTTGGATCACAAATTTGATGGAATACCTCCAGCACGGTCTGTAACACCCCATGTTATGACCCTTAAAACCAACTAATCATTTAACCAATTATCCAAAGAAAGAATTAAATTACAATAATTAAATTGGAAAAGGCCCACCATAGTCCGTGGGCCCTCTTCTCTAAACCCAACCCCTAGTCCTAAAAGGAATAGAGTTAGCAAGCCTATAGTATTTGGGCCCTAATTAGGACTCTTAGATATATAAATAGGGGACATAGGAGGCACCTAGAACCCCCACCACAATAATCTCTCACCACACAAGAAGTTCCAAGAATCCCCTTAAGAGGAATCAAGAAAGAAGAAAGCTTAAAGAAAAATCCTTCATAGCCAAGGAATTAATTAAGGCTAAGAGGTAACCCATGTCTCAACAAAACCTATTTTCATAGCTATGATTCCCCTCTTAGGCTTTCCCCATATTCCTGCGTGTTGATGATTTGTTATATTGATCTTGACAATTGGTGTTATGATTCCAAGGGTAATCTTGATGATCTTGATGATGAAAAGAAGTTCTTGATGATTATATGGTGTTCTTGATGATTATATGATGTTCTTGATAATTGTATAATGTTCTTGATGTTTATGTGGTATCCCTACCGAATCTTGACATTAGAAAATGAATTGTGTCCTTGTTGATTTAAAAGTAATTAGAACCCTAGGTTGTATCGTAAAACTCGTGTGGCACTATTCTTGGTGTATTGGGTGGGAATTCGCATGTTTGGGTGTTGATTATGTTTAGAAAAGCATGATAGGTTATGAGCCGTATGTTTCTTGCTTTTGGATTCGTTAATTGTCTACGTGTTGTTGTCAATTGCGTTTGAAAGTGTCTAAGCATGGTTTCGGGTTTCACAATGGTTCTCGGGGCGTTTTATGTGATGAAAAGAGTCAGTGGGGGTAGGGGACCCGCGTGCAATGTTAACGTCGCCGGCAGCGGGCTGCCGGCGGGCGGGCAGCCGCCCGCCGGGCACCCGCTGCCCAGAACCACGACGCCGGTGGCCAGCCGGCGGGTGACCCCTCACCCACCGGCTACCCGCTGGTTTTTACCCCACCTTGGGATTTTGACTTCCCGGTTTGATGTTCCCCCGATCCCCGTGGTGTCCCAGCGGACTCCTTCTATCGTGCCTATGTCTAGTTTGATGTTTGGGTACCATTCGTAGGTGGAATAAGTCTTATATATTGCATGCTAGTTGAATTGGTATCCCGTTGGCTTAGGTGTAAGAAGTATGAACCCCTTAGGAATATTCTTAGTATGTGAATGATCACGCATAGGTTTCGTTTTACGATTTCTTCCCCTCCCCAATGTGCCTATGTGGGTTGCATGTGTTTGCTATGTGTTATGTGTGCATGATACCCCAATTCGGTTGCGATCGAATTGGTTATTCCTGAGCTGCGGTTCAGAAGCTGGCTGCGGTCAGATTTACACTCTCGGGCTGCGGTCCACCGTTTGGTTGCGATCAAACGTTTTACATGAGCTGCGGTTCATATTCCTGGCTGCGGTCAGATGACTACTCTTGGGCTGCGGTCCACTGTTTGGTTGCGATCAAACTATGATGAGCTGCGGTTCATCGGTTGGTTGCGATCGACCCCTTCGTGTTGCGATACGGGGCAGGGTGCTGCGGGGCCGTGTCAGAGCTATATGCGCTGACCCTCATGTATGGGCATGCGATTGGTCCTGTGGCGCCAACAAAGTGTGCTATGTGATGGGATATGGATGATTGGATTGTTACGAAAGTGTGACCATAGGATACATGCTAGTAAACTGTATATGCTTGATTATGACTATTGGCTGTGCTTATCTCTATCTGTCGAATCTGTTCCCTATGCTTGTGAATTGTGTATGCTTGATTATGACTGTTGGTTGCGCTTATCCCTATCTGTCGAGTCTATTCCCTGTTTTGAAAGCTAGAGTCTCTTAGGGTATATCTTCATGCTTCGAAATGGTTTTCGTATATCTATATATATATCTATATGTATTGTGTTTCAACGCGTTGGAGTGGGTTACCAGCATCTCTCGCTGAACAGATATATTTGGCTTTCAGGCACGGAGGAGTAGACACTGGAGCGCGCTAGAGTCTTGGAGCGTAGAAGTAGATAGGTTCCCTTTCGGCCTGCGTGCCATGCTTATGCATTTACATTATTGAGGATATTAGTTAGTTAGCCTGTGCACCTGAGTTCTCTAGCTCAGGTGTGGCATAGCACCCCGTACTCTTTATGTTATATCCTGGGATTTAATGAGAATTTACCTTCTTTATATAAGTTTCAAAAGTTTTAAAATTTCTGGGTGTTACAGTTGGTATCAGAGCCTAAGTTTGACCCTAGGATAAGACTTTTAAGACTAAACTTTAAGACATTAGGCTTGAACTCTAGGTACTTAGGGACATAGGACTCAGGAAGCTTAGGACGCGCGGTGAGATTGTGAAACCTACACACAACCCTCCCTCACTTACTTAAAGAAAACTCCCCCTCCGCTTATCGCATCATGGTAAGAATGCAAAATAACATCGATCTATGAACACCAGGATGGCACCGAAAAGGAGACAAGTAGGAACACCGAAACTCCCCACTCAGGAATTCTTGACTCAGAATCTACAACGCCTGGCCCAAATTGCCCAGGCACCGAGTACTACCATTCCCCAACCTTTACCAACAAACGAGAACTTGGAAATCCACCACCAAGTCTCGGCACACCAACCACCCACCTTCTCAGGGAACGAAGACCCCACGATCCTCGAGGAGTGGATCGGAACTCTTGACAAGATATTCAGGGCAACCGAATGCCCAGAAAACCACCAAGTTAGAATAGCCTCCTTCTACCCCAGACACGAGGCCGACACCTGGTGGGCTCACGAGGGACCCACATACGAACAAAGCCCCGAATTCAACTGGGAAACCCTAAAAACACGGCTGCGAGAACAATTCTATCCCGACCATCTAAAAACCACCATATACGAAGAGTTTCTCCACCTAAAACAAGGGGCAGCCCCGATCACGGAATACTACCAGCAATTCCACAGACTGGCTCGCCTCACCCCCGAGCTAGTACCCACCGAGATGATCAAGGTCAAGAAGTTCATAACAGGCCTTGATCCCGAGCACCAGAAAGCCCTGGCCACACAAGAACCGAGGACCCTCGGGGAAGCCTAGGCCAAGGCATTCCAACTACAACAAGTAACAAACCAACCCCGGGAGACACACCTGGGGTACAAAAGGAAACCTGAGGGGAATCACACAAATCCCACCCGAGGGCCTAAAAACTCTAGGACCGTCTCACCTCCCAAGGTCACAACACCGACTACTCAAGGAAGAATCCTCACCCTAAGCAAGGCCAGGATTGGAGACAGCAACATAGTCTCCGGAACCTTCCTAGTACACGCCACCCCCGCCACTATACTATTTGATTCAGGGGCTACCAACTCATTTATAGCAACCGAGTTTGCCACTCAACTCAGCCTTAACGCCAGCACCAAGGTCCGACTCCAGGTCAAGGTGGCCTCTGGCGAAATCATAAAATGCGACCGCATGTACGAGAACATAATGATCACCATCCAGGGAGTGGAATTTCCCAGCAACCTAATACAATTCGGACTGGATGGGGTACAAGTGATCTTGGGCATGGACTGGCTAGGGAAATTCCAAGCACAAATCCTGTGCAGAGAACAAAAAGTGGTCCTACGGGGACCGAACGGTAAAAGGGTGTCATACCGCGGGACCCGCCAGGATCCGGGGATCAAACTTGTAAACATGATGAAAATGAAGAAGTACCTAAACCGAGGAAGCGAGGCCTTCTTATGCTCGGTCGAGAACCTCAACACCAAACCACCCGAACCACAAACCATTCCAGTGGCAAACGAATTCACCGACGTCTTTCCAGACGAAATCCCCGAGGCACCCCCAACCAGGGAAGTCGAGTTCACCATAGACCTCGTACCGGGCGCTGCCCCGATCTCTAAATCACCCTACAGACTAGCACCAAAAGAAATGAAGGAACTGAAAACACAACTCCAGGAATTGCTAGATAAAGGTTACATCCGCCCCAGCACCTCCCCCTGGGGAGCACCGGTACTATTCGTTAAAAAGAAAGATGGGAGCATGCGCCTATGCATCGACTACAGGGAACTTAACCAAGTCACAATAAAGAACAGGTACCTCCTTCCCCGGATAGATGACTTGTTCGACCAACTTAAGGGGGCAGGGGTGTTCTCGAAGATTGACCTAAGATCCGGATATCACCAAATACAAGTGGCCAAACCAGACATTCAGAAAACGGCCTTCCGGACGCGTTACGGCCACTATGAATTTACAGTAATGCCCTTCGGACTCACCAATGCACCCGCTATATTCATGGACCTCATGAACCGGGTATTCTGACCCCACCTGGATGACTTCGTCATTGTATTCATTGACGACATCCTAGTCTACTCCCGAAACAAGGAAGAACACGAAAGGCACCTCCGCATAACCTTGCAAACTCTAAGAGAACACCAACTATACGCTAAGTTCTCCAAATGCGAATTCTGGAAAGACAGCGTGGCCTTCCTAGGCCACGTGATAACCAAAGAGGGAATTATGGTAGACCCCGCCAAGGTCCATGCCGTTAAGGAATGGACCACACCAAGTTCGCTGTCAGAGGTCCGCAGCTTCCTAGGCCTGGCTGGTTACTACAGGAGGTTTGTACCCGACTTTACTAAGATAGCTCAACCTCTCATCAAACTCATGAAAAAGGAGACCCCCTTCCGATGGGACGACAACTGCATCACGGCCTTTCAGGAATTGAAAGATAAACTAACCACGGCACCCGTACTAGCCATCCCCTTCGGGGTGGAAGGATTCGAGGTCTTCAGTGACGCATCCAAAAAGGGGTTGGGGTGCGTGCTAATGCAAAAAGGCAAGGTAATAGCATACGCATCCAGGCAACTCAAAACCCACGAAGAAAATTACCCCACCCATGACCTCGAGCTAGCCGCTATCGTATTCGCACTAAATATTTGGAGGCACTACCTATACGGAG